GAAAGAATGGAGTCAAAGTGCAAAAATAGAACAGTTTTTTACACATTAGACAACAGTGAAGAGAAAAGCCATTTGTTTCTGTCACTTGGAGAGAGGTCTTTTGACTTTAACTGAAGCTGCAATAATCTACTTGCACATTTTAGGATGAAAGGGATGTGGAAATTATATGTTGTCATTTTTATTTGCCATTTTTCCTTAACAAGATGCTGCACTTGAACTGTTTCATTTGAAATTAATCTGTATGGGAACGTTTTAAAAATAGCATCAGTTTGGCAGCTTGGGAGCAAAGATCACGTTGTGCTAGCAGCTACCTGAGTCAAGAGGTGAACTGGGTCTCTTGCTAGCTCCTTATGAAAGTCAATTTGTGGCACTTGGTCTCCATGGGGTTGGGGACGGCCGGTCACATGTACATCCCCTTCAAGCTGATTCACAGAGCAGCTGTGGCTCTAGCCTCTGGCATTACACTCTCCCATCACAATTGTAGCCATCTCCAAAGAGCAGGGGCCCTAGGGGAGGGGGTGGATTCCTCAATGACCAAACCAAAAATGGTGTTTCTGAATCAGTAGTAGGATTCTTTAGGCTATGCTCAAAACCAGCTTTTGGGTCATGATGTGTCAAAGTGACGGAGAACTTTGCCTGGTTACCTGCTGGGATTCCCACTACACTGAATTACACATCTTGGAGCACTGGCTGGCTCAGGCATTTGGAATAGTAATCAGCTCTGAAAAGCCTTTCACACGTAGGTTAGTATTTGAATGTGACAGAGGCAGGTCAATAGTGAACAAAAGTTATTACCATCTAACAGCTGATTGGTGGAGTCAATCAAGTTGTATACAGCATAGCAGAGATGCTAAAGAGTGAATCGGAGCCTGATCTACTCTCATCCCAGAGGTGGTGACGCGAGTGCTAGAGCATACCAGTATACTAGCAGCGCCGGCCTTCGGTGTTTCTGCTGCCCAGAATGGAAAACCCTTTCAGTGTTCCTCCCACCCCGGCCAGCTAAGCAAAAATTCCAACACAGCTGAGTGGCAGAGCGAGGTGGTGTCCCCAGAAGTTGGCAACCAAAGCAACCCACCTGCTAACTTGCCCCTAAGGCTGGCCCGGCACACTAAGTCAGCGTTGGGAAGCTCACAATGTCACTGGCTATGGGTTATTTATACTGTAGGAAGACAAAGCGCTTAGCTCTGGGTCAAGGAATACATGATCTTTCTGAGCAGTAATGTCACAGGGAGAAGAGAGATCTGAAATTAAGACAAATTATGCTATGGTAATTTCTTTGTACAGAACAAAATTGTCATCTAATGTTATTTTCTGGTCACCTGAATGTCTAAAGGCGCACTCTCAAAGATTAGCAATCAAATATAATTGCCTCAGAAGTTTCCAAAGGCTTTTCAACTGTTCTGTGGAATTCAACACATACACATATATCTGAAAAAAATCCCAAGCGCAGCTCTTAGGAGATAGGAGTTCTGTACATGACAATATTCATTTAAAATGTAAATTAAATAAGCGTGGGTTTCAGATATTGCCCTATGAAAATAAACAAGCATTTTAGATTTAATCAGCAGCATTATTCCAGAAGGGACTAAAGCCAGCTGCCTCCAATTTTTCTTGTGGTGGATGTTTGAGCCCAAACATGGTGCTGCTTTAAACACAAAACAGCTATCTTCCCTTGTGAATACAGTATTTGGATTTGGTTGGCTGATTTGTTTATTCATTTAACATTTGCTCTTCTATTTATGGGCCCAGTACTGCAAGGTGCCGAGTGCCTTCAGCTCCCATGGACTCAGTGGGAATTGAAGCTGCTCAGCTCTTGGGCTCTAGGATTGCTTTACTGTGGTGGGAATGAATCTAGCAGTGATTAGACAGAGTGCTCAGCCCTGGGTGGCAGAGTACTTGGCAGTGCTCAAGAATGATAACTGGAGAGAGATTCCTCCCAGCCCTCGCTAGAAAGAAGGATGGTGACAGATTTGGCAGAGAGGGTGCAGTAGAGACACAGTGGATCTCCCGCTCCCCCAGAGAGGGTGGTGAAAAGATGGGAATAGTGGTGGTGAAGCGCAGCCATTCTATACTCATGTTACCTTGCTGTCCTCCTACTCCCACTGAGTCTGTCAGGTGAGTACTCTGGCCTCTATAACAATATTAATAGTCTCATACAGATCTGTGGTTAGCTAAAACAAAGTCTCCTTTGAGCTCCCATTTCACACCGTTCTCACTCTTCCTTTTCTCATAGAAACCAAGTGACACATTTTGGGTGGCAGGAGCAGACCCAAGGATCTCCCTCTCCGTTCCCTCATATTCCTCCCAGAAGGTCTCAGTAGGCCCATATCTGCCTGTTTGGCCTTTCAGATGAGCACAGGACACACACCATGGGGCTTGCTGTAGCAGAGGGGCCATTCAAGCCCACTGCAAAGCAAACCGTCTGAACTGAGGGAAGCAAAGTGCACAGAGCTTTGTAAACTGTAAACTTTTCGGTTGCTGTAGCCACAGCCGCTGAAGAGGAGGCTGTCTTACCATCCCTTCCCCAAGGTCTTACCATCTTGCTGCTGTTCCTCTTGCATAGCTGCACGACTTGGGAGCTTTCGCTCCTGGTCCCCACCACATGAAAATCGATGTAGTTGTACCTTTGTTAAGATCACACACCCATACATAAGCTCCCTCTCGTATTCTCAGCTAGCAAGATTTACGCAATCAATGGAGACAACTTGCTAAACCCAATGGTACGTGGGGTTGTGGAAAGAATTGCATTGTATTGCTCTGCAGCAACTCCGGCAGTCTGAAAGAGCAGCACTGATGGACTTTGCAAGGGGCTACCATCAGCTCTCATTGCAAGACAGCACATGCGATGATAACGTTCACATTATAACCTAGCATCTCCACAGGATGACATTACAACGACAGTACTTTTGGGAAGAAGGCGCTTTTTAATTGCTTTTTTTAAAGGAGGTAAATGAGAGGATTCTAAATCCACTCCCAGAAGAAGTGCGGAGGCTGCAGTAGTGGCTACCAGAAAGTTCCATTACCACTCTGTATCCTGAGTGGGAGGATTTACTGCTCTCCTGACCCCCATAAATACTAGAGAATCTATCCACTATGTCTGTGGTCTCCAGCTTGGCCCAAGCTGTAAAATCCCTTTGTAACACTAATGTGGTTTTGTATCCAATTGACGAAACTAACATGCCCTAATTATTACACCTGCTAAACACCTGGTGTCAGAATGAGGCTCCAGTCATCACTGTGGCAAGCTGGACTCAGCTATCTACTCCGCCCTTTGTATCATCACTCGTGTGACCTGGACCACTCCAGTTTCCAGCCTTCCTGTCCTGGCTGTCACTGCTTCCCCCGTGATTAGGTGTGAAGGCAGGGCCCTGGACACATTACTGCACATAGGCAACTAGCAAGTCAGCTTACTTCACAATCTCATCTCAAAGCCACATCAGAGAGGCCAATTAAAGTCAAGGTGCCCCTTTCCTGAAGTAGTTGAGTCTCTCGGACAGTAGGTCAGACACGATTTTCCTAAGGAACAGCAGCAGCAGCAGGTGGTACAGGACTATATTTTGGATCAAAGGCGCATCTCTTGGCAGATAGGGGTGCAGATCTGAGTTGTCTAAGTCTCTCCAGATCAAATCTTACATAGTCTCAGTACAACCATATGAACCAAAAGACCCTTCTTTGATACAACAGGATACATGTAGTCATGGGAGGTTTTACTTACATGTTTACCGTTCGGGCTTCTTGAGCTCCCTGACCTGCCCCTGTGGGCGTGGCACTCCAGAACAAACAGCGTATCGTCTGCTTATGTACTGTCCTCTTTATCGTCTTCATGGTGGACAGATGAACTTAACATTTCCAGGTGCTGCTGCTGCTGTGATAGAGTGCCTACATCACTTACCCAACGTCTACTTCATTATTTGTGCTGTCATAAGCTATACACCAGAACTATTAACATAATAAAACAAATAGTTGGACAGATTATAATACTATATACAGAGAGAGAACCTGTAGGTTATTTTGATCAAAGAGAATTTCCCAGGGCAGAGATCGGTGTCAAAATTTGTTTTATTTAAAGAGCTGTCCAAAAGAATCCAAAGCAAATTATGTTAAAAAACAGAGTTTTCTCCATTAATATAAGAGCGTTTCAGCATGTAATTTATTCCTCTCCATCCCTGATACCTCCAGTGGGAAGTACAAGGAGGATTTTGCTTGGAGAGCATAGGAGAGAAATGGGAGCTAGCAGAAGCAGTTCCTGGATTCCTTAGATTATGGGAGATTGTAACTAACTTCTGCATAACATCTCCAGTGCACTGGGAATGGTGGGATTTGGATTGAGTGAGCATTGTGGAGTGAGCATTGTGGTCACTTTAAAGAGATACTGTCAGGGTTCTTTACATTTTATAAGAAACAAGCTTTTGCAAAGCAGATTCTCGGTAGAGGTGTTTGGTAGATGTGTTTGGATGGGTGTTTTATTTCACTGGAACAGTTGGGTTTTTTAAGAAAGGAATTACATTCTTAAGCATATTTACCAATTATCCCAATTTGGCCAGGACTGCCCTTGTTTCTAAACCTAGACCTGCAGGCTCTAACTTTTGCACCAGACAGGCAATTAAAAAAAAATTGGAGCGACGTTCCTGCCATTAGATAATGCTGGGCAGAGAAGGCAGGCTGCAGCCTGTGGCTGAGGGCTTGTCTGCTTCTGTGCACTAAAGATACCAGCAGAAGAGGCGGAGGCAGGGGTGAGAAACCCCAGGCTACACAGCGGGTGTGACGAACACCAACTCCCCATCTCCTAGTCCCCTAGCTGTGCTGACCAGAGACTCTCAGCCTCCCCATTGCTGCAGTAAAAAAGAGGGGGCAGGGAGTAAAACTGGGGGTAGAGGGCAAATTGGGGGGCACAAAAAAGGAGCTAAATTGAGGGGGCAGGGAAGGAGAAAAAAAACTAATTCACAGAAGAAAGGGGGTTAAAAAAAAGAGGAGAGAAATAGGATTTCAATAGCAAAGGAGAGAGGGACTTCAAAGGGGTAGGTGGGGAAAGAAAGATGGAGAAGCCCCACCAACCTTCAGGGTGAAGGGAGAAACTGGAGGAGAGGAACGGGCATAACATCCTCCCCTTAAGATGCAAGCAGAGGAGTGAACCTGCTGCCCTTCTCCAAATACATTTCAGGGGGCATCCACCCAAGCGGATGTGCCGAGGATTTGTGGGATGGAGGGTCGTGGGGGCTGCCCCAGGTTTGCATCAGTATCCCAACTTCTGGGTACCTGTCTAGAACCCTGAGGCCCTCATTTAAATATGCCTATGATGCATTTAAGCACCACCCTCTGGTGAGGGGGTTTGAGCAGCTCCAGGACCTATAGAACAGTATCCCTGGAAATGTTTTTACAAGGCCGCATTTGCAACCCCAACATCCTGCTAAAGTAAAAGACCCAGAGAATGAAGTGAAACCAACCATAAACAAGTCTAAGTGGCATAGTCCAAGCTGAGAGAAATGCAAAAGAGAAACTAACAACATGAGACAGGGACTTTAGAGGTATAAAATGCTTTTATCTCGTGTAAATCCCTGGTGATGTTGATTACATAGGGAAGGAAATTGGTTTGATATACATTTTAACCTGGCTGTGTCTGTAAGGCAGCGTTCAACGTCTTTCCCGTAGGGAGTGGAGAATTCTGCTGTGCAGTTCTGTGAGTCATCTACGCTCACACTCATCCCAAATGTGTCAGATGCTACCTCTGGAAGTGAATGCATTCCCCAAGCAGATCATTGGAGCACTAGGTTCCCCAGGCTCTCAACTTTGGTACCCAGCCGCGGCTGCTCCTGGCAAGGCAGTGACACTGTGGGGAGGGCAGCAGCTGCTGCAGCTGCAGCCACAGTTACAGCTGGGGTCTCTCCTCTGGGCAGCACTGAGCGCACAGAACGCCTGAATTCCTCATTCTTCCAGGTATAGAGCAACGGGTTGAATGCAGACAGGGAGCAGAAGAGAAGCCAGCTGGTCACCTGCAGTGCCCGGGGCACGGACTGCAGGAAGAAGCCCAGCAGGCTCACCCAGACCACAGGCTGGGTGTCCAGGAGGAAGACACAGCACAGGAGCAGCACGGAGATGCTGCTGAGGCGCCGCTGAACCCGGCGGGCAGGCGGTGGGGCAGCAGGGAAGGGCAGCTGATGCAGGAGGTGGAAGTTGAGGACGCTGACCCGTTTGACGCTGACCCGCACCCGTCTCATGATGCCCAGGTAACAATGGAGCAGCAGCACGGTCTGGCTGAGCATGGCCAGCGCTACCAGCAGGGCAGTGTAGTGTGAACTGCTGCTGGCACTGCTGATCTCCTGCTGGGATGACTGCTGTGAGAGCCATTGTGTCCAGAGCCCAGGCAGCAGTAGCACCAAGATCAGTGCAAGTCCCCAGGAAAGTCCGATCATCCACCCTGTGCGCCTCTGCTGGTAGAGTGCCTGGTAAGTGCTGGGTGCCTTGGTGATCAGCACATACCGGTTGAGGGCCACCAGCAGGTGGGAGAGCAGGGAGACAGTGAGGCCAAGGCCAAGGAGCCCACCCCGCAGCAGCCTGTATTCTGCTGAATGAGAAGAAGAGGAGTTAGCTGGCAACAGCCCCAGCACCGCTTCCTGTGGCATCCAGAGGGCACAGACACTCAGGTCAGCTACGCAGCCGTTCACGATGAAGGCATTGCTGGTGGTCTGTAGCTTCTTGAAGGAGAAGACCAAGTAAATGACCATCACATTGGATAAGGTCCCCACGAGGGCTAACAGCGAATAGATGAGAGACAAGGAGATTCTGGTCCCTGCGGATTCTTCACACAGCAGCAGCAGAGAGGAGCTCGCACTCCAAACAGAAGAGGAAGAAAAGTTGGACATCTTGTTGAATGCAGCTCAGCTTCAACTCCTCTGGGCAAATCCCATCCTTATCTGGTCAGGAGGCTGTGAAGCAGAGACACAGACCATGCAGCAGAGAGAAGCCAGAGCATTCAGCTAGGAGGATCCTCAGCAGATAGAGGCATGTTTTAGAGCAGGCAGCTAGCAAGAACGGTTCAGAGCAGGCAGCTAGCAGCATCCAGACAATAGGTGGTCCAGAGCCGGTCCAGGGCAGCAGCTAGCAGGGATGGCTTAGAGCATGCATCAAGCAAGGATGGTTCAGGGCAGGCAGCAGCAAGGATGCTCCAGCTGTGAAAATACCAAGAGAAGCAGCACTCTGCAATCAACAGCAACAAGAACAGCAGCAGCTGCTATGAAGCCTTGCAGCTTTTGTCTGCACTACAGTACGTACACTGTACATCACTCCAGGAAAATTCAGCCCTTCCGCTCTTCATGAATTATTCAGCAGATTTTCTACTTGCAAAAGCAGGAGAAAAAACCCCAGCTTGCTCTGAAAATACTGCAGTTACACCGACTGATTTTTCTCCCTGCCTCACCAGCTCCATGGCTCTAATACCACCTTATATTTACACAGCACCTTTCATCCTCAATAAGCTTTACAGACTTGGATAGACTTCATTCACCTGCCTCTGAAACACAGTCCATCTGGGGTAGAAACTCCCGTGCTAACTATTCACTTTAACAGATTTCTTCTGATTCACATTGTTAGGAAGCTTTCTGTGCATCTATAAACATTTATTTTTTAAAAAGTATAATTTTAGAGCAGGTTTCTAGTAGCAACATGCTCTTTGAATTAAACTCCCCTCATTTATTATAGATCATGCCTTGTCAAAAGAATACTTTTCATTTTAGGGAGCTAAGCCCCAAATGCATATAATTTTGGTGGGGGGGAAGAAAATGAGACTGTGGAATACACGGAAATCTATTACACATCCTCTGCTCTGGCTCTATCACGACTCTTCACTGTGAACAGTTTAGTGTTACAAACACGGATCCTGACCTTGCAGCCCTTACTCCTACGAATAATCCTACTGAAAGCATATGATGAGGTTTCCAGGAGCAGGAACCTGATACAAACAAGTGCAAGTTCCATATTCAACATCACAAACTGGTGTTAATTCCACACAAACCCTTTCTATGGTCCATCTGAGGGTTACCAGGAGTAGCATGGGGATGAAAAGGGGATAGCTAGAGATTCAGTTTTTTCACCACAGTGGCACAAAGGGAATGAAGACTGGCTGTATCTCCACAGCTGAGGGTATCCCAGGCATGTGCATGTAGAGACAACACAGCTGCTTTGTAATATGTCTTAAAGGGTGCAGAGTGTTGGGGGGAGCACCTTCCAGGTTTGCGATACCCAGCATAATCAGCATGCCTGCGTTTCTGGAGTGCAGTACATTCGCTCATCAGCCAGTACAGGATATCCAAAAAGCCGTGACCTGTGAATCTGACCCATACCTTTACTTTCCTGTGAAAGTGAGTCAAAAGTGCCATTCATGACCAAAATAGCCAATGCCTCATTGGGAAAGCCAATGCCTCATTTCTCCATCAAGCACACAATAGTCTAACTTCAATAGGACTACTCATGTTCTTAAAGTTAAGGCCATACTTAAGTGCTTTGCTGGATCAGGGCCTAAATGTAGTAGTAGTTCGTACTTGCAAACTGAGAAACCCACACTGGATACAAAAGTTCTAGCCAGCTACCACCCAGTATCAAAACCCCTGTTCCCAAGCAATTTCTTAGAGAAGCTAGCCAAAGGCTACTATAAGCGTATCTACCTGAAGCCAATATCCTAGACCTGGCACAATCTGGCTTCATGCCAATATATGGGTCTTAAACCTCTTTAGTGACACTGATGAATGATCTGCTATCAATGGATGGCGAGCAGACATTCATCATCATGTTCCTGGACCTTTCTGCAACATTCAGCACTGTCAACCATGTGATACTGCTGTCCCGCCTGAGAGAGGTAGCATGAGTCTAAGGGAATGTGCTCAAATGATTTGAATTCTCCCTGGAAAGAGGCACCCAATGAGTAGTGACCAGAAACAGTACTTCCATTACTAGACACATACAAAACACTCTCTTACTTGTGAAGCTGCACAAGGATCAACTCCTTTGCTGTAACCAATATCTACATGCAACCACCATGTGAACTGGTCAGATGACATACTGCCAGCAATATGCAAACGACACTCAGCTCTACATATCCTTTTGGGGTGATGGTGGATAACCAGCTTCACTTGAGCTTCCATTGTGATGCTATGGCCAAAAGAACTAATGCAATCCTGGGATGCATAAACTGGGCAATCATGATTAGGAATAGAGAGGGTTTTTTTCCTCTATATTTGGCACAGGTGCGACCGCTACTGGAATACTGTGTCCAGTTAAGGTGCCCAGAATTCAGGAAGGATGTTGATAAATTGAAGAGGGTTCAGAAAAGAGCCATGAAAATAATTAATGGATTAAAAAACATGCCTTACAGTGATAGATTCAAGGAGCTCGATCTATTTAGCTTAGGAAAAAAAAGATTAAGGGCTGACTTGATTACAGTCTATAGGTATCTAACTGAGAAACAAATATTTAACAATGGGGTCTTCAATCTGGCAGGGAAAGGTGTAACATGATCCAGTCGAAGCTACACAAATTTAGACTGGAAATAAGGTGTACATTTTTAATGGCGAGAGTAATTAACTATTGGAACATTTTACCATGGGTCACAGTGAATTCTCCATCACTGGCAATTTTTAAATCAAGGTTGGATGTTTTTCTAAAAGATCTGCTCTAGGAATTATTTTGAGGAAGTTCTGTGACCCGCGTTTTACAGGAGGTCAGACTAGATGATCATATAGGTCCTTTCTGGCCTTGGAATCCGTGGATCCATCACCACATATGACCAGCCCATTGCCACCAAGATGGCTCTGTGCTTGGCTGAGATCAACTCATGGACAAAGAAGAGCTGGTTGAAGCTGAACCGGAGCAAGTGGGCAGCGGAAAGCATTGTGTTGAGTTTGCGGCCACAGTACAATCTCCTTTGGTTGACCTGCAATTGGCCAATTCAGCCCCTAGTTTAGGAGTGCTCCTAGATCCCTCACAGGTGCTAAGCTCTGACATCGCAACATCCACAATTAGTACTTTCTACCATTTCCAGATGGGTAGGAGACTCCATCTCATTCTGGCAAATGGTGACCTGATCTCAGTTATTCACGCTTTCACCACCTCCTGTCTGGACAACAGCATTGAGACATATCTGGGCATGAAGCCGTCTGCCTTTAGGAAACTCCACCTGGTACGAAACATTGCAGCACATCTCACCAACACTGGATACTGTGAACACATCAAATATTTTGTCCTCTGCTCTCTGCGCTGGCTTCCCATAGAATATCAAGTCAAGTTCAAGGCCTCAGTTCTTATTTTCAAAATGCTCAACAGCCTAGGCCCGGGTATTTAAAAGATTCCCTAAAGCTTCAGGGCAAAGGCTGTAGGCAACATTTCATCTGTGCAGGAGACAGATCTTTACTGGAGGCTGGTCCAACACAATGGAACAAACTCCCATAGGAACCAAAGACCATCACAAACATCATCATCTTCCAGCCCAAGAGCAAGGAGCATTCTTCGGACTTGCCTTTGCCAATATAAACGCATAACAGCCCATACTTACACAACCCCTCTCCCTCCACAAAGCCCTATGAGAATAAAACATTTCACTGCACACACAATTCTCCCCCTGGTGAGAGGATAAGAGAACAAAGCACAAGTGGCAGATATTGGTCATGTTGCTTAATGCTCTACTTAATGGTGCTCAGCTACTACGGTGGTTAGTGCATTATAAAAACCTTCTGTAGACTGTAGAGTAGGAGCCATCACAGACAGCAGCCTGGCAGCATCCTTCCCTACAGCCGGGGATCTCCAGCTCTAGCGCCTCCACTAATCACAGCAATGGTCTTATGGAAAAAGGTGACCGTGGACTAAAGTAACCATTTAAGACTTCAAAAGTCAAAACCACCATCTTGGATTTCATACTGAAGCCCATAGACAGTCAGTGCAGCTTGCAGACTCAGTAGTGGTATGTATTCCAAGGAAAAATTCCACTTAAGTGAGCTGCCACATCCTTGAGGTGTAGCTCCAGATTAGATTACTCTAACGTGACCAGTCTCAAGGTGACAAAAAGTACAGAGAAGCACAGCAAGGTCCACATCTGAAAAGCTGTTGCATGTGCTGCATGGAGTAAAGCTTGGAAACACACACTTTTCACTATTGATACCATCTAAGTCACGAGCCCAATTTTAAAATAACGGCCACTCACCACCAGGTGGAGGGGCTGATACACCCTCCAGTCAGTTCTGGTTGCTTTCCCCAGTCTACTGTCGAAATCTTATTTTATGTCAATGTAAAATCAAAGCACGTGTATTTTAAACACCAACAGTGCATAACTTAACTTCTCTATAATGTTAATACTATAGAATGTGCATTTCCTTAACATTATAGTGTATTTCCAAATACTATGTCACATTGCTCAGTGGTGGGTGATTGTCTCTTATGTTAGTAAGACCCAACTGTCAGACATATGGAAGGATGATCCAGGGTGGGAAGCTTGGAGAACACAAACAGTCCAATTCATAGGAATATGTTGTAATGATGAACCGTTCCCAAAAAACTTTCCAGACTGCTGGCCTTTTCCACAGATTTGGTATGTTTCAAAGCAGAAAGAGCTCAGTTACATTAGCAGTCTCAGTTTCACTGTGGCAACTGATCTGTAGAAACTGGATAAACTTTGCCTGAAAAAGTCGGGCTCTCTGGACACAAGCCTTAGAGATGAACAAGGATATTAAAACAAGTTTCTAATGTGAGACTACAGAGAATGTGATACTCAAATTTTAATCGCTGGAAAACAGCTCATTGCAGCCTAATTGCTAATGACTCTATAATTGAAGGTTTCCCATTTCACAGGTCAAAGTAATGCATTAGGCAGTACTACTGTAACAGCTATCACCATCAATTATAGCAAACTACAGTTTGAGGCTGAAACATTTCCTGAAAAGTGTGCTAGTTTCTCTGATCAGAAACTAGTTACTACTAGGTGCAAAATATATGTAATATATTCAGTTTTGTCACAGTAGCTTCCACACAGATTTTATTTAATAAGGGCCCACATGATTAAAATTATGCATATGCTTAAGAGCTTTACTCAATCAGCATCTTAATCACGGATTCTCTCTTATCTTTCCTTTCCACTGCACCTTTGATACACTCAAGGTGAAACCTTGTTTAAGCTTCCCATGATTTAGAGGTCATAAGTGATAATAATAAATTTTGCATATGAGGTTCAGAGTCATGATAGACAAGAGATGATCTTAGCTCCAGTACTTTGTGATTGAAGGATATTTTCTAAATTGTAACAGAAAACATGTCCCCAGTGTGTGTACTTTAATACCCACATTTTAGA